TCTGGCAGTTCATTCCATAAATGCATCACCATCTGCATGGAAAAAATTGCCCCTTAGGTCCATTTTATATCTTTCACCTTAAACCTACGTCCTGTAGTTTTGGACTCCCCCTACCCGGGGAAAAAAGATCTTGTCAAAAGCATGGAAGTCCGTTTATACTAAGCAGGCTTCCGTAAACAGCCTCTGGTTGTTTGAGGGATAAATATATTCATCAGGACAGAGAGTGGAAGGAAACCTCTTCAAAATAACGGTTATGTGATCTTTCACATCCCTAACAGAGCAGACCAGGCTCCTCTTTGGTATTTCATTCAAACGACAGCACTTGTAATGCTGCAGCACTTCTTTAGCATTGGCACTGGCCACGTCAACTTGGATTTTGTTCTTGCTAAATCTACGGATTGGAACTTAATCCCACAACCATCTAATTCAGAGGCAAGAGTGCTACCAATGAGCCATAGCTGTAACTACCCCTATTGTAATTTTGGGAAGCTCTCGGTATGACAGGAAGTCTTCTTCCAAAATTTAGAAATTTTAAAATAATTCAGTGTAATGTTCTCAACAATCTAGAAATCATGGAGAAAGTAACCGCAAGTTCATGCTTCCCCTATTGTTAGTCCAAAAAAACCCAACAATTTATGATCAGGAATAAATACTTTGAGTTATTATTGCCAGACATTACTGATTAATTTGCCATTAGCTTCGCAAAAAATGAAAACCAAATGTCCCCTCTGTTGTACGCTGCGAAGTTGATTGATTATGCTATTGGTACAAATTATAAATTTTGTAGCAGCCATTTAAAACTAGTTCTTTCATATCAAAACGTCATGTTAATTGTGTGTTTTAGGATCCTGACATGAAACTCAGCCATTCCAGCCCAGAGAAAGAGCAGTTGAAACTCTGGTGTTGCTCACACACAAATAGTAAATTGTTCTGAGAGGTTATTTTAACATTCTGTTATTTTTCGTTGTGTCTTTGCTCTCATCATCCAATTTTACTTCCCCTTGCTTTGTAATCATTCTGACTCTTATTCATCCCATTTCCTTCTCCATTATTTTTACTTCTTTCCTCAAAGCTCATTGACTAACAGGATAGAGTGTTGGATTAGTAATCAAAACAAAAATGTTGGAAATACTTAGCAGGCCTAAGTTAACTTTTATAGAATGTTTGTCCTATTGAAGATGAGGACTGAGACAATCTGTTGACCTCAGTCCACCAACATCAGCTTTTACTATCGGCAAATTGTAGCTTGGAAATAATACCTTTTGGTGAGGTAGAATCCAACTCACTGTATTTGCCATGACATAATACTAGAAATAGGCACAACACTATCCTGTCCTGGAACCTGCTCCCCCATTCAGTATGATGCTGGCTGACTCTGCTTTTCTTGATCGTCATGTTCCCTTGATTCCCTCAGTATCTGATTGGTTGCCATGTTTTCAAATTATATCAGTGACTTCAAAAGTACTTTATTGGCTGCAGAGATCTTTCAGTACATCCTGAGATTGTAAAAGATTCTTCTTGCGTGCAAGTCCTTTTACACACCTGGCTTGATTACGGAGTTCACACTTCTTATCCACTTCATTTGATTTGGACATGAATATCCTGCTTTTTGTGAACAAGTCTAAATCGAGTGAGGTAGTATTTGGTTGATTTTCTACAATCTAAAGTACCTCTTCTTTGAAATCTGCAAATTAATACAGTATCAGTAATTATTGGCAAATTCTGCCATCTTCACTGGTAATTATATTTTACTGCTGTAGTTTCAATAAGGTTACAACACAGCTGTGAATATGCTTCAAAAGTACTTTATTGCCTATAAGCACTTTGGGCTATCAGGAAATTGTTAACAGCATTACAAGTTCCACTTTTCGCTATAGGTGTTTTGTCAATGTATGGTTCTGAATCCTGTTTCGTTATCAAATAGTAGACCATAAGATATAGGAGCAGAATTAGGCCATTCGGCCATGGCTGATATCTTTTTCAACTCCATTCTCCTGTTTTTCCCTGTAACCTTTGATTGCTTTATTAATCAAGAACCTATCTATCTCTATCTTAAATACACCCAATGATTGGCCTCCACGGCCTTCTGCGGCAATGAGTTCCATGGATTCACCACACTCTGCCTAAAGAAATTCCTCCTCACCTCAGTTCCAACGGGTTGTCTCTATATTCTAAATCTGTACCCTCGGGTCTTAGTCTCTCCTACTGCTGGAAACATGTTCTCCGCGTCCACTTGGAGACAGTAAGAACTGCACATCCTGGAGTCAGAGTCAATACAGTGTGGAGCTGGAGGAACACAGCAGGTCAGGCAGCATCAGAGGATCAGGAGAGTCAATGTTTTGGGTCGGTCCCATCCTGATGAAGGGTCCCGACCTGAAACATTGACTGTTCTGCTCCTCTGATGCTGCCTGATCTGCTGTGTTCCTCCAGCTCCACACTGTTGTATTGACTCTTCTCTGAGTCCACTCTCTCCAGGCCTCTTCATGGCCTGGGTTTCAATAAGATCCTCTAAACTCTATCGACCCAGTGTCCTCAGCCACCCATCATATGACCATCCCTTCATCCTGGGATCATTCTTGTAAACCTCCTCTTGACCCCTCCCTCCAAGGCAAGCGCATCTTCCTTTAATATGGACCCTAAAACTATTCTCAGTATTCTAAATGTGGTCTGACCAGAGCCTTATAAAGCCTCAGAATTGCATTTATACTCTTGTATTCTATCTGGAATAAAAATGGCCCAAATATCGTCCGTGTAAACTATCGATTATTTAAAAATCCATCTGGTTCGCTGATGTCCTTTAGGGAAGGAAATCTGCCATCCTTACCTGGTCTGGCCTACATGTCATTCTAGATCTGCAGCAGTTTGATTGACTCTTAACTCCCCCATGGGTGATTAAGGAAAATAAATCTGGCCTAACCAGTGACATGGGTATCCCATGAATGAATAAAAAGAATTAAAGGTACTAAAACTCTTGGTGCATGTTCTTGTAGCTGTTCTATAGTGAGTAATTCAGCTAACAGTATCAATGAAGATAAAAATGATTCAGAAATACTTTTCTCCAGTCTTTTTCTTTGCCTACTCATTACAGCATCCAAGCTGATTGAGAGTTTAGTTCAGTCTTTTATAAATGAACATTCCTGTTAACATGTTTGATCATTAAGTAAATGTTATACTATAGTTTTGTCTTGTTTAGTGATTCTATCACTGAAAAGGTACAAGTCAATACCCTGCCATTCTACTTTTATGAAAATGCCCTAGCTTCTGTAAAATAAATCAATGGAGACTGATTTAGTCATTTCCAATGTCTTCTCTAGACTCATTGAACTTGCATTTCTATAGTGCCTTTCTTCTCAGCATGTTTCAAAGTACATGACACAAGAACCTTCACATTTGATTATTAGATCAAAGCTAAGCAAAACCTCATTTTATTTTGGGACCTTTTGCATTTTTTGAGACTGCTCATCTGACACCTGGCTAATTTTTGCTCTGGGGATGGGTGTATCTGATTGAGTTATAGAAAATGCTAAAGGGGATTGATAAGGTGAATGTTGAACAGATGCTCCCCCTTGTAGGACATCCTTGAACAAAAGACCATAGATAATGAGTGAGAGGAGGTAGGTTCAAAACTGAGATGAGGAGAAACTACTTCTTCTGACAGGGTTGTGAATCTGTGGAACTCACTGCTCCAGAGTGCAATGGAGGCAGAATCAATCAACAAATTCAAGAAAGAAACAGATATGTTTCTGATGCAAAGCGGACAATGAGCTATGGAGTGCAGGCAGGAAAGTGGAGTTGAGACCAGGTTAAGATCAGCCATGATCATGTTAAAAGGTGGAGTGGGCTCAAAGGGCTGAAATGTCGACTCCCACTCCTAATTCCTATGCTCCTATATGACTAAAATGTATAGCATTTATTAGAGAAAATCTGATTTGAAATGGAAGATAGTTTTCAGTTTAAGAATGGTATTTTCAAAGTGTGAAAAGATATTTTTAAAATTTAGATATTGTAAAATTTCCACCTCGGTTTTTTTTTAATAATCTAAACCCAGATCTGTAACTTGTTCTTTGTCATTGAGTCCCAGCAAATTCTAGACTTCCTGGAAAGGAAAGGCCTGAGAGGTGATATAATAGAGCTCACACATTTACAGCGGATTAATAGGTTAGACAGAGGGTGATTTTCTGAATCTTGGTGCTGTAAGAATAAGATAGTAACTACTAAATTCAGTGGGAATTCACGACAATTTTCTTCACTTGGAGAGTGATAAGAATGTAGAAGCAAGTAGTTGAGGCGAATAGTGCAGATACATTTTAAGAAGAAGCTGGATCAACAAAGGAATGGGTAAGAATATACTGACTAGGGTCATGAGCCTATGATGAAGCTGATGTGGACCATAAACACTGGTGTGGACCAACCAGTTATGTGAATGTTTTTTAATTCATGAAATACTTTGTAGACATTGCAGGAACCCTAGTATATTTTCAGTTTGATAAACCTATCCTTGCATTTTTTTTCCCTATCATGTGGCGCTACTTAAAGCTTCCCTCTGTGTTCCAATTTTAGCCTTCTATATTTTGTCTTAATGTTTTCACCCTTAAAATTGAGGTGTTTCCTTTACAGAAATGCAAGATTACTTGAGATTCATTGAGGAAATCTAGTTAATTGGAACAAAAAAATTTCTTGATATTTAAGTGTTCATAATAAACAAACTTCCGTTAGTGTTCTAGCACATCTCAGAAAGAGTGTAAAAATTTGACATAGCCACAGAGAGGTATTAAGGATGGGTAACTCAAAATTTGGACAAAGAATTAGATTTTAACGTCTCATTTTGGACAGAAGGGTTTAAGGAGGGAATTGCAGGGTTTAGAGTTTAGGCAGCTAATGGCATCGCTGCCAATAGTGAAATAAAGGAAGTGGGGAATATGGAGTAGGGCAAATTTTCTCATTGCTTGTTAATACGTTAATATTCACTTTGCAAACAGTTTTGATCATTTTTCATGCAGGATACAAAACTATGGATTATCATGGAATATCTTGGTGGTGGCTCAGCTTTAGATCTGGTAAGTATATTATTTTTAAATTTTGCTATGGAAAATTCATTGGGAGGTAGTCTTTTCTTGTAAATAAAAAAAAATGATCATTGCAATACATACCATGGAGAAATTGCCCTTGTGACTTTGCCCAGTCTGGGAGTTTTAATAACTGCAGTTTTATAAGACGAAAGAAAATCTTGGATGGCATGTTTCGCTGAGATTAAAATCAGGCAGGTATTAGTGTCAGCCCAGGCTAAAATATTTTCAATTGCAGCTCTCAAAATAGTGTTGCAAAGTTGAGTGGAGTACGTGTGGATTGGAGGGCAAGATGTTAGAATTTGTTTGTAAAATGATAGGGGGGAAGAGTGCATGGGCCCTTTGAAAGATGATATGCTTTTTCTAGGCTTGGAGATTTAAAAGAAAAAGTCTGCAAGCAGCAGCAGGCACAGAGAGTTCCTGAAGTTGAAACATTTGGATCCAAGGGATCCAAAGGCTGTATGGTTAGCAACCCAGACAGTAGTCTTGTTTTGTTATTAAGGCAACCGGTTTGAATATCAGCCAATTAATTTAAACCAGCCCTTAGAGACTAAAAACCAAATAAATTTAAATCTGATGGTTTAGATAACCTAGGACCATCTGTTAGAATTAACAACCAGCAGCCCTAAACAGAAAATCACTGGCTCTCACAGAATTCTCTAAGCTCTCCGAAAACCATCATCTGACTACAGGTACAGCAGCGCTCTTAGCTAATATTCCTGACACAAGAATTTGATGGAGAATGGCATTCCTGGCTGAAGAACAGCGGAGAAGGCACCGAACATTCCAGAAGACATATCCTGGCTGTAATTTTGAGAGACTAAGTTTTTTTTAAAATTAATTTGGCTTATATAAGTAGGATTTATATCTATTGGAACAGCATACCATTATAATTTTGTTTTATTCGGGAATAGTTAGTAGTTAAGGGGGAATTGTTTGGTTTGTTAGTAGTTCTGTTAATTTGTTCATTTTAGAGTTAGATAGATGAATTGTTACTTGTTGATTATAGAGTGACTGTCAGGATTTCACTTCATTTAAATTCTTTATAACAAATTGGGAGGTGAGAGGCAGGTTATTACCTCTTTTCACACTTCCTTTAACAGATTATGAGATGAGCGAGCTTCTCTAGGTGTTTCAGTTTTAGTTATTTAGAGGGGGGTCGACCTCTGCTTCATATCTGATAGAGGGCTTTGGTCCGGGATTTGGACAGATTGGAGTCTTGAGTCTGGGATGTGGCAAGCTCGTGTACGGGATCTGAATGCAATTGGACAGATTTGAATAGATTTGGGGTACGAAAGGTCTCAGCAGATTTAAACAAACTTGGTGATTAGTGTCATAGATCTTTAAATAAAACTTAGGTAAAAAGTGGAAAATGGGTTAAATTTCGTTCACCTGTGGTTGGTTAAATAAAAAGTAGGGGGAATGGCTTTTAACATTACTAAAGAGGTTCTGGGGTTTGGGGATGCTTCCCAAATATGCCAAGAAAGTTTAGAAAGACAGAGGAAGGGTATACTTTTAGACTTAGCAAACAGGCTAGAATTGGGTTTAACTAGGGATAAGAGGAAAGCTGAAATTGTAAAGGAGTTAGTCAAGCATTTAGGTATACAAGAAAAACCATCAAGTGCAGTGGAGTTAGAAAAAAATTAAATTGCAAATAAGACAACTGGAGTTAGAGAACGAAAGCGAATTGAAACAGCTTGAATTATGGTTACAAGGAGAGGTCAGACAAAAAAAAGAGAAATGTTTGAACTTTGCAAGTTGCAAATTAAAGAAGGATAGCTGACTTAAAATGATGGAAATGAAGGTAGAAGATAGGCTTAGTGAGGAGGAGAGTGATGATGAGCAGACCTATTGTAGCCAAAGACCTGATAGGTATCCATACAAATATGTCAAAATATTACCAAAATTTGATGAAAAAGATGCAGAAGCCTTTTTCATTTCCTTTGAGAAATTGGCTAACCAGATGAACTGGCCAGACTGTGTTGGGTAATGTTAATTCAGACCAAGTTGGTAAGCAGGGCTAGTGAGGTATTTGCAGCGGTGTCAAGAGAATATGAAGAAGTAAAACAGGCTATTTTGAGTGCCTACAAATTGGTATCAGAAGTATATAGACAACGGCTCAGAAGTATGAGGAAGGAACCAGGTCAGACTTGTGTCAAGTTTGAAAGAATTAAGCATCATAACTTCGATTGATGGGTGAGAGCATTAAAGATAGCAAAGACATATGAGGATCTTAGATTATTCTTTTGGAGGAGTTCAAAAACTTACTTGCAGAAATGATAAGAACTCATGTTGAGAAACAAGGTTAAAACAGCGAGAAAAGCTGCAGAGGTGGAGGATGAATATGCATTAGTGCATAACTCGAAATCTAGCTTCCGACAGCAATTTCATTCCAAGGGATTGAAATTGGAAGAAAGGGAGATCCTTCAATGAAAAACAGAAAGTAGATCACACTGAGAAAAGTTTACCACACGTGAAAAAAGAAATCCAAGAGGGTGAAAGTCCTCAGGTGTTTCCACTGTAATAGAGGGGGGGACACAAAGTCACAGTACTGGTGGATTGAGAAAGGCACTGGGAAAAAAGATGTGGTGAAAGAGGCTAAACCAGTGGGATCAGCTGCGGTAGTGAAGGAAATCTCGAAGTTGAGGAGCTGCAGGAGAGTGCACAGCCTAGTCACAGACTGGGACAGTAGGATCGTACCCGATCTCTTCAAAGATTTCACCTCTGTGGATAAGATTTACTCAGTAAGAATGGGGGAGAAGGTAAAGAAGTTATAATATTGAGAGATATGGGAACTGGTCAGTTTCTAATAGTCAGAGATGAAAGTATTTGCACTCCTCCTGAAATGTTAACTGAGAGTGTGATAATCTGTAGAATAAATGGAGATTTAGCATTCCCCCTGCGTAAAGTAAGATTAGCAAAGTGACAGTGGGATTGATTGAAAGTGAGTGTCTATTCCAGGAATACAGTTTGTTCTTGGAAATGACCTAGCCGGATCAAAGGTGGGAGTGATGCCCATTTTAGTGGAGAAGTCCAAAGAATACCAGGGAACTGAAGAGTTAAAATAAAAATACCCTGGAATTTTTCCAGATTGTGTGGTGATAAGATCCCACGGTTATAAGTTAAAGCAAGAAGGGAAAACAAAAGAGAAAGACGAAGGAGTTGAGGTCCAGTTGGCTGATACCCTGTTTGATGAAATGGTAAAGGAAGCACCTAAACAGGTAGAGGATCAGGCAGAGGTGTTTGGTTCTGAAAGACTAAGGGAGTTAGAACAAAAAGATGAAACAATAAAAGATTTATATCATAAAGCCTCCTCTAGAAAGGAATCAGAATGTAATCCAGAAGGATTACCTTAAGGATAGAATCCTAGAGCAAAAGTGGAGACCTTGGCAGGTTAGTGCAGAGGAGAAATGGGTGGAAGTTCACCAGATTGTATTGCTGGTAGCATACACAAACCCTTTAAAGTCACTATCGCGCAAGCGATGTAGGGGTTGGAGCTCTGTTGTTACAGGAGGATGATTGTGGAATTGAAAGACCAATCAGTTATTTTTCAATTCTGGAAGACGTTTCCTGGCTGTAATTTTGAGAGACTAAGTTTGAAATTTTTTAAAAATTAATTTGATTTATGTAGGTGGGACTTATATCTATTGGAACAGCACACCATTGGAATTCTTCTATTTAGAAATAGTTAGTAGTTGAGGGGGAGTTGTTGAGGTTGTTAGTAGTTCTATTAATTTGTTCACTGTTAGCATTAGATAAATGAATTGTTACTTGTTGATTGTAGCATGACCGTCAGGAGTTCATTTCATTCAACCTCCCCTTTATAACAGATTGGGCGGTAAGAGGCAGGCCTTTTCACACTTTTCACACTTCCTTTAACACATTATGAAATGAGGCAGGCTTCCCTCGGTGTTTCAGTTTTAGTTATTCAAAGGGGAGTCGACCTCTGCTTCATAACAGTAGATTTTCTGCAAAGCAGCTAAGAAGTAATGTTTGTAATTTTGCGAGAAATTGAAATTCCAGAAAATACATTGATGGTAATAAAATTGAATCATAAAAGTTGCAACTTTCGTGCCCTCCCTAACATTTGGAAAGTCTGTAGAACTTATTATAGTGCTGGCTTGTTGAGTCACAAATCTAACATGGTTATTAAAGTTATTACAAGATTGGCCAATGTCAAAATTTGTGAAATCAGGAAAAGGAAGTGTTAAGATAATCTAGAAAACCAACTGAATACTGAAATTCTGTCTCATTGAGCAGTTATTTTGACTATTCTGAGAATATATACCCCACCTAAAATTTCTTGAGCATCATTTACAACTTGGACAAATTTGTGAAATAGAGATGCAAAGTCTGTATTTTAAGGGGAAGATGGATGACAGCTTGAAGGAAAGGGATTAGAAGGTTGTTTTGTGGTGAGAGGAACTGGAGTGGAAAGTGTTTAATTTAAAGCATTGCATCATGATCTCATCCCCACACTTCAGAAGATTGTATTGCCTTTGGGAAGTGGGTGTGATGCAGATTCACTGAAATAATGCTGTGTTTAAAAGGGCTAATTCTAAGGCCATGTTGAATTGACCAGTCTTGAATTTTCTCGACTATAGAGGGTTAAGGGAACAATCTAAAGATAGTGTTAAAGATCATGAAAAGGTAAATGGAAACTATTTCCTGTGGTGTGAGGAATCCAAGAAAAGGGAGAACTTTGTAAAATTAGAGCCAGGTCATTTGGAGTGATGTTAAGAAACATTTCATAATATGTAGGGAAGTAGAAATCTTTGACTTTCTCCCTTGAGGAAGTGTTGTGCCTCGGGTTTTGATTTTTTTTCTCTCATCTGTTTATTGGATGTAGGCATTACTAGCTGGGCCAGCATTTTATTGCCCATTGACAATTACCCCTCAGAAGGTGGTGATTAAAAATGGTAAAACTGTCGGATTTTTGTTTGGCACATGTTTGAGTGGATAAATGGTGTTGAGGATCTTAAAAGCATGGGATAATAGAACATGGTCAGAGGGCTGAATGGCCTCAATTTATTAAATCTTTGGCTAAGTTCTTAAAAGTTTGATTTTTTTTTTCTTAGTTAGAACCTGGTTCATTGGATGAATACCAGATTGCTACAATACTAAGAGAAATTTTAAAAGGCCTTGAATATTTGCACTCTGAAAAGAAAATCCACAGGGATATCAAAGGTAAGAAATTACATTCAAATTTTAACCAAGTGGTCATGTTCAAGACACTCACTTACCTTTGTATACCTTTTCCTAGCTGCCAACGTCTTGCTGTCGGAGCAAGGCGATGTTAAACTCGCAGATTTTGGAGTTGCCGGGCAGCTGACAGATACACAAATAAAGAGAAACACTTTTGTGGGTACACCCTTCTGGATGGCACCAGAAGTTATCAAACAGTCAGCATATGATTCAAAGGTATGGATTGTTACTGTTTCTCCAGAATGAACTGCAGGTAGAAGAATCGTCCCTTTTGTGAAGGCATAGTTTGCCTATGTGTCTATGACTATGCCCAATACACGTACTTCAGCTCTTCTACTGATGGGACTGTGATCCACGCTTTTGTTCCCTCTAAATTCTACAATTTATGTCTCTCCTTTTAGGTCATCCACTTCCATCCTCCAAATGTCAAATCATCCAAACATTTGCTGCGGTTATCCTAACATTCAGCGAGTCACTTTTTTCACTAGCACAAAGGAGATTGAGAGGTGACCTTATTAGAGGTTTATAAAACAATGAGGGGTAAAGATAGGGTGAATGGCACGTGTCTTTTTTTCTAGGTTGTGGGATTTCAAGACTAGGGGGCATATTTTTAAGATGAGAGGAGAAAGATTAAAAAAAAAGACATGAGAGGCAATTTTTTTTTAACAGAGTGGTTCATGTGTGGAATGAACTTCCAGATGAAGTGGTGGATGTGGCTACAGTTCGAATGTTTAAAAGAAATTTAGATAAGTATATGAATATGAAATGTTTGAAGGGATATGGAGCAAGTGCAGGCAGGTGGGACTAGTTTAGTTTGGGATTATGGTCAGCGTGGACTGATTGGACCAAAGGATCTGTTTCAGTGCTATATGACTCAATAACTGTATATGTCATGTTTACCATCACTCCTCCTCTCACCAGTTTACATGGATTCCAAGATTAGCATTGCCTGAATTTTAAAGTTTTGATCTCATTGCTTCTCACCTCCTGATCTCAATAATCTCCTCCAGCCCAGCAATCAAATCTCTATTGTGTTCCAATTCTGGCCTTGTAACAATTGATTTCCATTTTTTGTTGATTTCCACCAATTCCTTCAGCTGCCTGGGTGTAAAGTTCTATAAATCCTTCATTAAAACCTCACCGTCTCTCATTCTTGCATGCTCTTTCTCTCTCACACTCGCTCTCCGCCTTGTCTCCTTTAAAATTTACCTTAAAGCCTACCGTTTTGTCCAAGCTTTTGGTCACTTGTCCTAATATCTCCGTATGTGGCTTGGTATCAAACTTCAACTTCTGTTTCTGTATCAAAGGTGATTTTTTTCAAGTTGCTGTTTAAGTGCAAGTTGGCGAGTTAGTTGCGTAGCAGTAAAGTTGCTGGAACAGTAACCCAGAAACCCAGATGAATACTCTGAGAACACAGGATCAAATCACACCTTGGCAGCTGGTCAAGTTAGAATTAGAGTCATAGAGTCATACAGCACGGAACAGACACTTCAGTACAACTTGTCCGTGCTGACCAGATATCGTAAACTGATCTGGTTCCATTTGCCAGCATTTAGTCTCTATCCCTCTAAACCCTTCCTGTTCATGCTCCCATCCAGCTGCCTTTTAAATGTTGTGATCGTACCTGCCTCCACCACTTCCTTTGGCAGCTCGTTCCTTGCTCGCACCGGTCTCTGTGTGAAAAAGGTATTCCTCAGGTCCTTTCTAAATCTTTTCTCTCTCTCCTTAAACCTAGGCCGTCTAGTTTTGGACTCCCCCGCCCCAGGAAAAAGACCTTGACTAATCCCCCTATCTGTTCCCGTCTTGACTTAATAAACCTCAATAAGGTCATCCCTCAGCCTCTGCTGCTCCGGGGGGTAAAAAGCCCCAGCTTATTCAGCCTGTCCCAAGAGTGCAAACCCTTCTATCTGGGTAACATCCTTGCAAATCTTTTCTGAACTCTTTCAGGTTTATTCAATTAATAAAATCTATAATATACAAACCAGTCTTGGTAATGGTGCCAGGAAACCACTGTCAATTGTGATTTAACCCATCTGGGTTCTTTAGGGAATGAAATATTTCATTTTTATCTGATCTGGCCACCATTTAACTGCCGACCCACTGTAATGTGGCTGACTCTTAACTGCCCTCTATAATGACCTAGCAAGCCACTCAGTTCATTTGTGATTTGCCAGAAAATGCTGGTCTTGCCAACGATGTCCACACCAAGTGAAAGAATTTTTAAAAAACACTATTTCAAAGGAACTCTGACATGTGCTAGTAAGAAAACACCTTGGTCTTACCATGTGGGCTACCATGTTGAGTCACTCATTGAATAGTATAGGTGCCGTTACTGAGAAGTAACATGGAAAACAGGAGCAGGAGTAGGCCATTCAGTCAAATGATCACGGCTGATTAATAGAGGGAGAAATATGCTAAGTCTTTGTAAATCAGTGTGTCCCATTTAGAGTGCTGTGGCTGATTTCAAGCATAACACTCTGAGGATGCAGAAATAATTTACCAGAGTGGTACCAGCAATGGGTGACTTCAGTTATGTGATAAAACTGGAGAAGCTGGTATTGATCTCCTCTACTGTATGTACCAGCTTTAATAGTGGCGTTCAAGATCTGATGGAGTTAATAAGGTAAAACTGTTTCCTCTAGAAAGGCCACTAACCAGAGGAGACAAATTTAACGTGGTTGACAAAACAACCAAAGGCTACATGGGTATATTTTCCTTCTGCACAAAGAAAATCTGGAATTCAATATCTGAAAAGGTTTGGAAGCAGAATCAGTTGTTTCAAAAGAAAATTGGAAATACTTGAAAAGAAAAACGCTTTTACAGGGCTATGGGGAAGGAGCAGGGGAGCAGGATTAATGAGAGTTTTTTTTTTCCTTAGAGCTGGCACAGGCACAGTGGGCCAAATGATTTCCTCCTGGGTTTCATCCTTCTGTGAAAAGAATAGAGGGATTTGTTGCTAGAATTAGAAGAAGCAGGGCAAAAATGTAAGCACTTGTTTGAACCCCAGAATGGCGCTCAACATGAGGTTCATGGATGCTTTGGTAAAAATTAATCCTATATTTAGTTAATTAATTGGCATACAGATATAAACAATACAAATGATTTCTGTTTGCTGTTTTAAGCATTTTTTTTTTTGTTCTGCTATTTGCCTCATCTTCAATTGTTGCCAGCAGAAATTGGTGTGTAATCTAGTAGTAAAAGAATTTAAGGTGTCTGGTTGCATTAATGTGCAGTCCAATGGTATTGAATCGTTTGCTGGAACACCCTAGATTTGAGTAAAACAAAGAACTGTGGACGCTGGAGATCTGAAACAAATGAAAACAGAAATTGCTGGAGAAACTCAGCAAGTCTAGTGGAGAGAGAAACAATTAACGTTTTGAGTCCAGTGACCCTTCTGTTTTTGTTTCTTGCAGACTCTATTTCATAGAATCACAGAATCCCTACAGTGTGGAAATTAATTGATCAGTATGAGGGGAAATAGGTACTCTTTAAAATATCATCAGTTGTCTCCATTAGGTGCAGTCATGCGTGAAATGGTTAGGCATTCTCAGACGCCAACATTAGCAAATAACTTGGAACACCAATGTAAATGCTGTACTTGTGATGAAATTGCATTTTGGCATTATTTGATAAAAATGTGCGGCAGGTTATAATTTGGTTCAAGCTGAAGCAATAAGAATTTTGATGTCTATCCAAGTGTATTGAAAAAGCTAAGATTACACATGGTATTGAAACAAACATTTTGTACTGAATACAAAATAAGTTACTTTTTTTGTGTTCTGTTTATGTAGGCTGATATCTGGTCTTTGGGAATAACTGCGATAGAACTTTCAAAAGGAGAACCACCACATTCAGAGCTACATCCAATGAAAGTCTTGTTCCTTATTCCGAAGAACAATGCACCAACATTGGAGGGAAACTATAGTAAACCCCTAAAAGAATTTGTTGAAGCTTGCTTGAACAAAGAGCCAAGTTTTGTAAGTTGTATAAAATTTAAAGGTCTTGCTCGAACAAGGATTTTGAGAACCTTGGCTCCTGTTTCAGTTTTTTTTCTAACCACTCAAATTCCCTCCTGGCCTGCAGTGTGATCCTAACATAACACAATTGAATGCATCACCAATCCAGGTTTTTAAAGAATTATTTCATGGAATGTAGGCATTGTAGGTTAGACCAACATTTATTGTCCATCCCTAATTGCTCAGTGGGCACTTGAGAATCAACAACAATGCTATGAGTCTGCAGTCAGACCAGGTAAGGATGGCACTTTCCCTTCCCTAAAATACATTACTGAAACACATGAACTTTTACAACAATCAACAGGGGTCGCCATTAGGCCAGTTTTTTAAATCCAAATATTTATTGAATACAAATTTTACCATTTGCTAAAAGTGGGATTCAAACCAATGTCCGTACAACATCAGCTCGGGATTCTGGATTAAGTGCTACAGTGACACGACCATTACATCACCACCTCCCCATATTTTACTCATGTCAAGTTCTGAAGCGGTGAACAGGCTAAATTGTTTTAAACACATTGCCAACAATTCTATAGGCACAGACTAGCATTCAATCAGTTTTTCATCCTAAGAAGTGGCTGTGAATATTTAGGGGCATTAAAACAATAAAATCTGTATTTTCATTGATCCATTGAACTGTGACTGATCTGTTTTTGTTTAATGTGTTGATATCTGTTTCAGAACTGCACATTAAACATTTTAAGATGAGAGTTTTTGACTCAGGTGGCTATATTTAAAAGTTCTGGGCCTAAATTATAACTTAAGTTATGAATGGAAAACTCAATATGTTTGTGAGCAGCATGGAAAGACAAGCAAGAAGGAGCAATCTTACATTTAAATCGTGCCTTTCAAGATCTCAGGCCATCACACACAGCATTTTACAAACAATTACATTTTTGAAGCATGGTAACTGTTTTTGCAACTTGAGTTTGTAATTTCATCTGATATAAAGTGATAGTTGTATGGTTGCAGAGGACTGTTTTGAAAAGTTTTGCTTTGCTGCTTAAGAAAGAATAACTAATGTGTTTTCTCTATTTTCTTAAGAGACCGACAGCAAAAGAATTACTGAAGCATAAATTCATAATTCGAAATTCTAAGAAGACCTCTTACTTGACAGAATTAATTGACCGGTACAAGAGGTGGAAAGCGGAGCAGAACCATGACCATTCCAGCACAGATGAATCTGACTCGTAGGTATTCTTCTACCATGCGTTCACAGAATTCCTCTTAGACACTTGGATGTTTCCAGTAGAGCATGCTGAATTGTTTTGATAAACATGCAGTATTACATAGGATTACTTAGGATTTACTGCACAGAAACCTGCCATTCAGTCCATGATTATGCTGCACTCTATTTCAATTCACCCTATCAGTGTATACTTGCATTCCATTCTTCCCTCTCATGCTTATCCACCTGACCCTTAAATATACCCATGTTGTGCATCTCAGCTACTCGACATAAAGGTAAAGAGGTGATTTAATAGAAGAGTTCAAAATCCTGCAGTTTCAGTGGGGTATGTAAGGAGAGGCTGCTTCTGTTGGGAAGTGGCTCCCAGAGGATACATGCATAAAGTGATGCACTAGGGAACAAGACTGCTTTTTTTTTATTTTTCAAAGGGTGTGAGCCTAGTTGGCTAGGCTAGTATTTACTAACCATCCCTAATCGGAGAGGCCGGCGGTGAGCTGCCTTCTTGAACTGCTGCAGTTCTTGGGGTGTGCACCTATAGTGTGTTTAGGAAGGTAGTTCCAGGATTTTGACCTGATGAAAGAACAATGATACAATCCAAAATCGAGATGATATGAGGCTTGGAGGAGAACTTGCAGGTGATGATGTTGTCTTTCTAGATGGTCGAGGTTGCCGATTTGGAAGGTGTTGTCATAGGAGCCTTGGTGATTTGATGCAGTGCATGTTGTGGATGGTGCCTATCTGGTGAGATGCCTTGAGTGAATCATGTCCAGTTTCTTGACTGTTGTTGGAGCTGTTCCCATCCAGACAAATGTAGGGTATTCTTCACCCTCTCAAATTGTGTCTTGTAAATGATTGGGGAGGCAGGAAGTGAATTATTCGCCGCATAATTTCTAATCTCTGACCTGCTTTTGTAGCTACATTGTTTATATATTATTGTTTTGTTTCTGAACTTGAAGAAAGCAAAGCTTATACAGCAGGTTGCCTGTGATCCGGACTGCACAGTCTGTGGCAGCAAATTCAGTAGCAAAATTTTAAAAAGGAATTGGATAAGCATGTAAGGGAAATAAATATTGTAGGACTAGAGACATACCAGAGTTTGGGACTAATGGATAGCTCTTTTCAAAGAGGTGACACAGAATTGTTGAGCTAAATGATCTCCTGTGCTGCGTCATTTCAAGATTCTATGATTTCATAGCAAGTTCCATGTTCCCACCACTGTCTTGTGTAAAAGAAACTTCAGAAGCAAGTTTTTTAAATTCTTTATTGAATTTATTAGTAATTTTCTTATTTATGTATCCTTGTTTTATACCCTCTCACTTCACCGCCATCAAACCCCTTCATAATTTAAGACTGCTGTCAAGTCATCCTGTTGCTTTCTGTTTTCAAACATGTAGTAATTTAGGAGCGGCACGGTGGCTCAGTGGTTAGCACTGCTGCCTCACAGCGCCAGCAACCTGGGTTCGATTCCACCCTCAGGCGACTGTCTGTGTGGAGTTTGCACCTGCTTCCTGTGTCTGCGTGGGTTTCCTCCGGGTGCTCTGGTTTTCTCCCACAGTCCAAAGATGTGCAGGTTAGGTAAATTGTCCATGCTAAATTGCCCATAGTGTTCAGGGATGTGTAGATTAGGTCGGTTACAGGGGAATGGGTCTGGGTTGGATGGTCTGAGGTTCGATTGGACTTGTTAGGCCGAGGGGCCTGTTTCCACACTGTAGGGATTCTACAATTCTACAAACAAGCAAGCGTCCTAGCTTGTTTAATCTTTCCTGATATCAGAACTGAAGACAGTGCAGCTATAATCTTTATAAATATTTTAGCACCTTCTCTGGTGCTATTAATTCTGTAAGATGGAGACCAGAACTGTGCACCATTTCCCAATGTGTAGCTAACTTCTTTTTGCATATGCCTAGCTCTTTTTTGTAAAGCTGGGAGAGGGTCATTATGATCTAAAAAAGTAGCTTTGACTTGGTGTGCACTGATACATTTTCATTATCTGAACTATTTTAGCAACTGTAAATTTGCTATTCCTGCTCCATATATGTTAAAAAATCTTTAACCAATAAAGTTCCAATTTGCAGAACACTATAATTTCCGTTTCTTTCAGTAGGTTCTGCATTCCAGTGTTGGTTATTATCTGTAACATGGCTCCTTTTGCAATGACTTTTATTTGTATATCTGATTAAAACAAATACTCTTCATTAGTGATGCAATCTTAGCTGTTTTTAGATCTACCAAGCTTTCTACATTCTGTATTAATGACCTAGCTAAGTCCTTTGTGCAGATGTGTATTTAAATTTCCAGCTTGGGACTAACTGGAAATGGCTTTGAAAGATTTCGTGAGGATTCAATCATCAAATGGCCTCTGTGGTATATTAAATATTGTGATACTGTGAAATTGTTCAAGCTTCTGTGTGACTGGATTAGCATTGCAACCAGTGTAGCCCCACTTAGATTCACTTATTTTTTTGAAGATGAGCAAGTCATGTTTGTATCTAAGGTAGATTTTACATAGTTTTGTTTCTGTGTCAGTATTTCAGAGGCTTGCGTTTATGATCCAAAAATATGAGTTCAAATCCTAGCAGAGCAACTTAAATTCACTTAATTATTGTAGGAAAACAAAAGCTTGTATCATTAATGGTAATAATGAAACTATTGAATTGTTAAACCCATCTTACCGACTAATATTCTTTAGGGAGTGCAATCTTTCTTACTGGCCTACCCTGGCCTGTATATGACTGCAGACTCAGGTATATGACCATCTGCAAGCCACTCAGTTGTTCTTAACAGCTGGTAGGGATACACAATAAATGCTGGCCTTGCCAACAATACCCGTGTGATGGGGAATAGCGCCCTAAAGATCTCTGCTTGCCTCTACCTCATGCTTCTTCCTTGATCTTCTGCTGTCTAGGCTTTAATCTTTGGAGTTGCCTTCTTCTACCTTGCTGTCCTTTAAAATGCTTCTTGAAATCTATCTCTTTGACCAAGCCTCTGTCTCAATGCCTTCTGGTGTGACTGTGTCTTGAATTTTTTTGACACTTCTGAACCATGTTAAGAGGCTATGCAAATCGAAGTTGTTGCTTTTCTTGCAATCTTTAAAATAAATGCTTAAAACTATGTAGTGCTTTTCACCACCGGTGGATGTCTTCATGCATTTTACAGTCAGTGAAGTACTTTTTGAAGTGAACCCACTGTTTTAGTGCATTCAGCAAAATCCTACAAACAACAACATGATAATGACCAGATTGATTAGGGCCCTGGGAGTAATTCCCCTTCTCTCCTTTGAAATTGTGCTACAGGCTGTTTTATATCACTAAGCAGGCAGATGGAGCCTCAGTTTAACATCCCGTCCTAAAGGCTTCACCTCCCAACAGTGCAGTGCTCCCTCAGTCCTGCATTGGAATGTTGGCTTTGATTTTTGTGCTCCGGGCCTGGAGTGGGATTTGAACCTATTACCTTGTGGTTCAGAGGCACATGTGTTATCTACCGAGACATGTCTGACACAGATACCAAAATAGTCTTCATTTTTTTCTGGTGTAATGGTTTTGTATGAAGCCCCTTTCTTTTCACAGAATAGGAAACAATATTTTTTTTCAATAATAATAGGGAAACTGACCGACAAGCAGCGGGAGGAAATGACACAAGTGACTGGATCTTCACAATCAAAGAGAAAGATCCAATCAAGCTGCAAAATGGAGCTACACAGCCCGACGATCTCATTGAGCGGGATCAGGTATTTGATGGGTTCATCTTCTCAGTTCTTAAATTGCTGGTTGGGGGCAAGACGAACTGAAATATTTTAGCTTCAGTAGCTTGGGTAACGTTGAGATTCTGTGAAGTGTGATCCTGTAATTGCCAGCAGGCCCTGAGAAATTTTATTTAGTGAAAGCTGATCAACTTGTGCAAAGCAAGACTGAATGAGGTGGCATACATTTCATGGGGGGTGTGTGGTGGAATGGCACAGTGGGTGAGGGTTGTTGAGGGGGTTTGGGGAGGGTAATGGTTGGTGGTTATTGGATTGGAGTGAGGGAGCAAAACGAAGACTGAAAGGCAACCTGATTTAAGTATTGAAAATTATGAAAGCATTGGTAGGGTAGCTATAGCGTTCACATCTAAAGTACAAAATATAAAATGGCTACCATTAAATCTAATGGATTCAGGAGCGGCTTCTTTCAACCTGGACATTGCTAGAATGTGGAATTTGTTATAAAGTGGAGTGAATGACATTAATTACATGGATACGTTTTAGAGGAAGCAAGATAAATGCCTGAGAGGAAAGATTGGTTATGTTGGATGTAAGTGAAATGAATGTGGAGCACAAACATCGGGTTTAGATCTGTTGGGCCAAAAGCCTGCCTTGTTGCTCTAAACATTGTGTGTAATTATTGTTAAAGTTCCAGTCATTTTAAACAGTTATGTGTTAGCCTAGAGCAAGCTGGTTCTGGATGAAGCCTATTGAAAATAGCAGCATCTCTAAATAGAAAATGCCAATATGTTAATCGGACATCCTTTAATAGTCTTTATCACCATTACCATTGAGGTTTGCTGAGAGATGTGACTCTTTTGTGTCTTTGTTTCAATGTGCACGTCTGTTTTCACCTTAACCACTATTCAACTTGATTGAAGTAAAGTTGCAGATTATATAAGGAGAGTAACTTTTGAACCTTATCTTTTTATAGGCAGAAGATGCTCCAAAGCACATGCTGTCTCAGTGTTTACCAACAATTATTTCTCCATTATTTACTGAGGTATGCAAAAGTCATTTATTTGAGTGGGATGGAGCGGGGTGGATGCGAGAATCATACAATCACTACAGTTTGGAAGCAGGCCATTCAGCCCATTAAGTCCTCACAAGACCCACCCCTCTACCCTATCTCTGTAATGCTGCATTTCCCATGGCCAATCTACCTAACCTGCACCTTTTTGGATTGTGGGAGGAAACTGGAGTACCCAAACGAAACCCACACAGACACGGGGAGAATGTGCAAATTCCAGACCAACAGTTGTCCAGATCCCTGGTGCTGTGAGACAGCAGTGCTAACCGCTGAGCTACCGTGCCACATCAGATGCATTGATTAATGTACATTCTCGTTGATTACCGGATTGATACGTTTTCCCATTGTATTGTTGTATTGACATATTCCTTAATGTCTTTTGATGGGTTGACTCATTCGCACTGCATTGACACACATTACTAGTCATTGACAGATTAGCCTATACTTCTGTCAGATTTATACTTACTCCCATTGTTTGATGGTTTGATTCCCAGTGCATGGAGGGTTGAAGCACGTTCCCGTTGTTTTGACGGACTGCATTTCTTTTCAGCTCGAGGAGAAGAGCCGAGCTGGAGGCGGTAATGCTCAAGCAGTAGAAGAACTAAGAGAAGCCATTTTTTTGGTAGAAGAGACATGTCCTGGCATTTCTGACAGGCTCATATCCCAGCTTGTGCAAAGACTTCAAAGGTATTATCAATTGATTTTATACTTCGGACCCAGTTGTTGAAACAAAATTGTTTTCCTGCAGCTCAGGTGATGTCTTGTGTTTCTGAACTCTGAAATCCCTCTGCTTTTCCATTATGCAAGCTTCTCCCCAAGTGTAGTTAATTATTATTTTATTTTTAACCAAACTACTGTCTTCCACCTGCTGGTATTAAATTCCATCTAGTATTTTTATGCGAATTTCATCATCTGTAATTAATCAAAAATTACCAACAGAATTCTGACCTTTATACCTTAGAATTAGAAGTCGTGCTACAAATATGAAATCTAGTTAGACCATACTTGGAGTAGTGTGTTGTGTTTACTGGATCGTAAAGAATAGAGTGCAGCACAGATAATACAAATTGATACCTAAATCCGTAAGTGTTCAATTTACAGGGAGAGATTCTGCAAAGTATGGTTTTTGTTCCTGCAATTTAGATTGTTCCTATCCCTGTGCATCTGCCTTTGACCTTTGATGTTTATTTACTATAGCATCTGGTGTCCAGTGAGATGCAACAAAAGTACCAGTTTATTGATGTGGTTCTTATCCCTTTGTATTATTTTCTGACTGCCTAATAATCTTCCCTTGGTCATTTCCACCTTGTCATCTGCATGCCAGTCAGCTTCCCCAGTGTCCACTGTTAACCCATCGCTGCCGCTCTGTTATCATACTGTTTATCTCACAAGAGCATGATCTATGGCTAAAATCATCTGCCTCCTACAAAATGTTTATTGTTTCTACTGACTCCGTTCTTCAGTGAATATGTTGGGCCGAAACAGACTATTAGAAAGCTCTGCATCCAGTCTAACTCTGGGCTGAACTTCTGATTCATTCTCTCCAGTAGGATAAAAACCTCCTTGTGTTCCTATAAAGTTAATTGTATCTGTCAATTTGCTGCAGAAACCCTCAACTGTACATGTGTCACCTATTGACTCAACTGTTAAAGTTCTGTCTTGACTGGCCTTTCACGTTTTCACCCTTAGAAACTAATGAACTCCTAACTCCTGGTCCTAACTCCTGTCCTTTGTACTTTCTCTTGCAAAACATCCTGTCATTGTTTCTTTATGCGCAATCTGCTCAAAACATGAGACATCACGGTATATTAATTGCCTTCCTTTATATGCAACTGCTTAAATGACATTTTAAAATTTTATTTATTATTTTATATGGAAAGTGAGCTTTGCTCACTGGGCAGCACTTATTGCCCATCTTTATTTGTCCTTGCATAGATGATGGTGAGTTGCATTTTTGAACTGTAGCAGCCCATTTGGTATAGGTACTACCACCGTGAGGTCCAGGAATATGACCCAGCTGGAGAGAGGACGTGACAGCAGATTGGTGTGGAGGATGTGGGGACAGGGTGGGAGGGGTGGAGAATGTGGGGACGGTAGGCGTGGAAATGCTTGGAGAACAAGGGATTGGGGAGGAGGTAGGGTGAGGTGGGGATGGTGGGTATGAGGCGGAGACTTAGGGAGGCAGGGATGGAGAGGGAGAGGGAAAGGGAAGATGGGGGAAGGGGGCTACAGAGGAGGGGAAGACGGTGAGGGACATGGGACAGGGGAGAGAGGGATGGGGGGGGAGA